CAGGTGCAAGAGTTTAGGCAGCCAGCCCTCTCCTGTCTTCAGATTCAGGAGTTTAGGCTCCCAGCCCCCTCCTCTCTTGGATATGGGCAGCGGAGGCCCCCAGATCACACACATTCAAACTGAAACCCAAGAGTCTGGGCCCCCTCACCTGGAGATCAGCAGAAGGGGCACAGCAAAAGCTTGGGTCCCCAGGAAGAAGAGAAAGTTCTGGGCCATCTGAGGGAGTCTGGAAATAGACTCAGGGATCTGGGCCCAGATGGACGGCTGCTCCCGGAATGGACCACACAGCTTAGAAGGCGGGATCCTGAAGCCAGAGACAAGAAGAGCTCGAGGATGGCCGAGAGTCAGGATCCTGGAGGAGGGCGGAGGGAAGGACAGAGAGGCAGGTGCCTCTCGCACTTACAGGAAGATGCTGTAAAGCACAGGAACGGCCGAGATGGCCAGACCCAGGAGAAGGACCATGGGGAAAAAGAAGTTCGCCGTGGAGGCCCGAAAGGTACGGGAGGCCGGGGAGCAGGTGGAGAAGAGGGTGAGCTGGCAAGGGAAGGAGGGAATCTGAGACACAGGCGTCTGTTTTCCTCACCCAGGAGTCCTGGCCCCTGATCCCTCCTCACTCAGGATCCGGGAGCCCCCGGGGGGGGCCCCTCTTCCCTCAGACCTGAAAGTTGGGATGCCCTAGACTCCTCCTTCTCCCACATCCAGGAGTCAGTCCTCCACACCCCTCCCCCCTCAGGATCCAGTGGTCTCCTCCACCCTAGGACCCAGTCGCATCCCTCAGTCCCCTCCCCCAGTACCTCCAACTCCAGACCGGCGTCCCCACCCCTCACCTTTTTCAGATAGAAGAGCAGCAGGAATTTGACTGTGTTGAGCAGGGGCAACAGAGGGCAGAAAAAACTCCCCACCCAGACCACTGTCTGCGCGTAGATGAGCCCCAGCACCTCGTCGGGCACCTGGAATTCCTGGGTCCCCAAACGACCCAGCGCCCCGGGACAGAGGCCACAGAGCAACCTGGGGGCGGGGCCGGGCAGAGTCAGAGACGAGCCCGCCAGGGATTTCCCCGCCTCCACCCTTACGCGCACCAATCAGAAGTGAGCCCGCCTCAGGGGCGGGGCTGTCGGGGGTTCTGGAGGGGT